CAGGAAAGGGTGACAAAGACCCTTCTACTATGAATAATCTCTAGCTCAACAGTTCTGCAGATTTTCACATCCTGGATTACACTCTATTCTTGTTCTTCGAATTTATTTGCACAACTTCCTTTTCATTTTTCAGCTTCCTTTTTAGAGTCTGTCTCTTCTGGCTCAAAAGCCATACCTCTCCCCTTAATCTATGACAATATAACTGACACCATCTCCTTTAACCTATTCTGATGAATTTTCAGAGTTCATGGGGGTTTTCAGCAAAAAAAGAAAAGACTGCCGACACTACTAAATTGCTAATGTTTTCACTTTGCAATCAAAGGAAGATTGAGAATATGATAGCCAACTTTAAATATCTGAAGGAACATCACATAGAAGATGGAGCATGTTTGTTTTCTGGCACTCCAGAGGATAGGGCTTAAACCAGTAGATTCAAATATATAAGAAGAGAGGTTGTGTAGACATTAGAAAGAGCTTTCCAATAGTAAAGTCTGTTCATCAGAGGAACTTACTGCCTCAGTCAATCCTTCACTGAAGATTGTTTTTAAAAAAATACAAAACAGAAATTGGATGGCCATCCCTCAGGTCTGTTGTAGCTTTGGTAAGCCTACATAGGCAGTAAGGTACACTGGATGACCCTTGAGGTCATATCGACAATTCTTTGCAAAAACTCTCCCAACTCTACAATTCTATGATACCAAGAGGCACAGCCTCTTCCACTAACTCTGCAGTCCATGACCCCTAACATGATCTCATTGTTCATTGGAGGACACAGACAGGGTATCTGTCCTAAACTCAATTCTATTTTTGAACAAAGGCATTCCCAGTAGAGAACATCCCTGGCCAAATTTGTATAACACCTTTATTCATGATACAATTGTAAAAGTGGAGAACATATCACATTGGCTGCAGCTGCAGTGCAGAAATAATCCAGGTTAACACCACTTTACCTGCCATGGCCCAATGCTATGGAATTCTGGGAACTGTAGTTTTGTGACATATTTAGCCTTCTCTGTCAGAGAGCTCTGGTGCCACAACAAATTACAGTTCCCAAAATTCCTTAGCATTGAGCCATGGCAGTTAAAGTGGTGTCAACCTGGATTATTTCTGCAACTTGTTTACTATATTACCAATGATATGTCTACTCTCCCCACCCTGTTCCAAGGGCTAAATTCTTCACCTTGGGAGAGACAAAAGGCAGAACAGTTCCTTGGATCACCACTCTCCATTGCTCCTGCTTTTTGCTCTAACTCCTCCCATGTATTACTGGCACACTGAACCATTTCTTAAAACCTTATTAAACATACCTCCTTATTAAAACAAAAATTCCCCTGTATACTAATTTTCTATAATTATCTTAAATCCCCTGATTTTAATCTTCAGTAATTGTTTGACATGCACATTATCTTTGAACATCTGTTATTACCGCCTGTAAGACATACAACTGAAAGGTAAACCACAGATAGTCTCAGGTTGATAACAGAAGAAAATCATAGCCTTGCCCTCAATCCTGATGGTTATATATGGGTGTCATCAAGGTAGGTCTTTGGGGTAGAGCTTTGGGGTCCCAGTCAGCAGGAGGGACTTCAAACACAGAAGGCCTGATTTAGCACTTTTATTAAGCAGAGGGCACTGCATGTAATGCCAGTAAATCCAGCACGTTTAATCTCCACTATATGGAGTCATGGTTTGAGCATTGAGTGTTGGTGGTTCAAATCCCTGCTTGGCCATGGAAACCCAGTGCGTGGCCTTGGGCAACTCATGTTCTTTCAGCCTCAGAAGAAGGCAAGGCAAACCTACTCTGAACAAATCTTGCCAGGAAAACCCCATGATAGGATCACCTTAAGGGGCTCACCATAAATTGGAGATTACTTGAAGACACCCAATAGCAACAAAATTAAATGGATGAAAAGGGCTGTGGCTCATCTGAATGGTTTAGTTGTTTGTTTGGACTGACATCTATAAATATTCCAGCTCTTCAACCCCAATGCATGAAGGATTTTCAATGTGATTATTCCTTAATAATGGAAGTCCATGATTTTGTTATTTCCTTACAGAGGTGGGAATACCTGGGCCCAAGTGGGTATTTTCAGCAGAGAATAATTTTATAAAGTGATGGATGGGCTTTAAATATAAATAATATATCAGAATAGCTGCCACACCCAGAAAAAAACCACAAGATTGAAAACAAACAACCACCAAAAGGGAAAGTATTTTTACCATATATTAAAGGAGTCACAGACAAAATAGAGAAACTGAGGAGGAAACACAACCTCCAAATGATCTACAGACCGACCAAGAAAATCCAGCAAATGCTGCACTCAGCAAAAGACAGATGAGACCCTCTCATGACCTCAGGAGTTTACCACATACCACACAGCTGCGGACAAGTCTACATAATGACTGCAAAATGCAGCATTCAAACACGAATCAAGGAACACAAGAGACACTGTAGACTGGGCTAACTAGAAAAATCAGCAGTAGAAAAACTAGAAAAACCTGGGCATAAAATGCTATTTGAAAACACTGAAATTCTGGACCATGCCAACAACTATCAGGTCAGAGTGTACAGGAAGGCCATTGAAATCCACAAACACCTGGACAACTTAACAGGAAAGAAGAAAACCCTGAAAATAAACAAAATTTGGCTACCAGTCCTGAAAAACACCAAGATCAAGACTCAACGCATGCAAATGGACATCACCCAGGATCAGGGGTTTTCCGCACAGACAATGGTTTGTTAATTAAATAGACACACACATCCTCCTCCATAGTCTCCCACCCTGAGGCCTGGCTATTCACCAACAGGCAAACACAGATTAACATGTAAATCACTTCCTCCCAGCCAAGGATCACACAGTATATATACCTCACTCACTTCCATGCCACCATTCTCTGAAGATGCCAGCCACAGATGCAGGCGAAACATCAGGGATAAATTCTTCCAGAACACAGCCACATAGCCTGAAAAAACCACAAAAAACTACAAATGATATTGTCTTCACAAGTAATGTTTTCAACAGCTAAAGATGGAGAATTGTTGTTAGGTTTATTTCGGTCTGATACTAGTGTTTCCAAATAGTTTTTAAAATACCTACTAGAGATATACTAATAAACAACACTTGTTTGGGACCTTGCAGAGTTTGTACAAAACCCAGTATAATCCAGCAGTTAGCAGAGACTCAGGGCTCAGTGTGAGACACCAGTGATGTCCCACACCAGGGTGTCATCTGGTGTGGGGCTTGGAGGCGGAGCCAAAAGAGGCCCCTCCCTCCCCATGCGACTTTACTTTAGAGTAAAGCTACATGCAGCAGGGAGGGAGAGGGCCCAGCGCCCCCTGTCCCAAGCAGCTTTACTCTAAAAGTAAAGCACATACGGCAGGGAGGTGGGGGGGGCATTCACCAGGTGTCACTACCCCTTTTGGCATCTATAGTATTAATGTTTGTTTTGCTTTATTTTTTGTTTTTCCTGCAGCTCAAAAATGTCAGTTTGATTTATTATTATTATTATTATTATTATTATTATTATTATTATTATGTTTTATTCAGTTCCTCATATGCAGTCTAAAAAGCAAGATGAAATTGTTTTTATTTTAATAAAACAGAAAACTAAACAAAACTGATTTTCTGCTTCTATACTGCTTCAACCCGACATCATGACCAGGAGTATGTTTGAAGACGTAAACCCTGGGAGTATTGGTTTGGCCCAGTGGATATAGAAACCCAAAGGAACAGGCTGTATTTGCTGGTGGAGTTCAGAAGAGCTGGAGGTACAAAGGAACAGACATTGCTAAGACACAGCAATAATAATTCAACAGAGACTTTTTGAAAGTTCAACACTTCTAATGGGCCTGGAACAGTCAATTCTGGTTTCACTCCCACCCATGGAGACTATCGCATTATGTTATAAACCGGCTTACCTGAGCCAGCTTAAAATTAGAAGTGGGTGGCATCTTGTATTCAATGCATTTAGCTGCTGAAATTGCTGCCCGGCTGCAGCCCGGCTCCATCACTGTTCCAAGGCGCGCTCCTCACATTTTCAAAGCCAGGAGTTTTTCCGGCTTGAAAAAATGGCCAGCAGAGTGCCCCTCTGAGCAGCGATGGAGCCAGGCTGCAACCAGGTGGCGATTTCGGCAGTTAAATGCATCTGATACTATCGGGATTCCACCCACTTATAATTTTAAGCCAGCTCAGGTAAGCCAGTTTATAATGTGATGCGATAATCTTCCATATCTCAAATTCTTTCTGTTCCAAATATGAAGAATATGGTTGCCAATGGAAAAACAGGAGAGAGCTCCTGTACCTTCAACAGTCATATAGAAGTGGGAATCCCAGCAGGTGTTGCTTGTTACCAGATTGTGTGACAAACAACTCCTACTGAAATTCCCTCTTCTACACAGCTATTAAAAGTAGAGGAGCCCTCTCCAGTTTTCATTTTGGCAACCCAAGTGAAGAAATGTACACATTTTTGATAAACTCTTATTTAAAAAATGAATAGGAATGAAATTCTCAACCATGCCTAATCCTGAACTAGGGATTAGTTTTTATTACAAAAGTTGAGAACCAAAGCTTTTCATTCTGTAGCTCAAGTGAGTGTTTTTTCTTGCCACTGAGGTAAAACAGTCAACCTGCA